ACGACAAGTCGTATGTAGCACTTCTGAAGCATGTGTTGGGTCCACAAGTGACCAATTTCACGTACACGGCATGCAGTGGCGCTCGTACTAGCGATATCTACAGCCAAGCCCAGGACCTTGATAAATTTCACGACCTCATAGTCTTGACCGGTGGAGGAAACGACTTGTGCTTGGTATGCTAGCCTCTCCTTCATCTCACTATAGTGAGCCTCTAACTGACTACCTGGCCAGTCCGATATCATCACCACCTGCATCTTTCTCCCTTTCAATAGCGAAGAGAAGTGTCAGAAGGTCATTGAGTTGGCTCAAGAAAACATCAAGTTTATCCTGGGGTACAACGTTCGCAGGATCCTCGAAGTCGCTGTGAGCAAGGTGAATGCTTTTGGCATCATTGTCTGGGCTCTCTACGGCCAGTTCTTCAACACGGAAACTGATGACTGCGAGAAGAATCAGGACTGGGCCTTCCCTGGTCTGGCTCCATTCGATGCTTTGCCTTTGACTCGCGAGCGTCGCGAGAAACTCAATCAACTGGTTACTGACACAAACAAGGTCATTAAGAAAACCATCGATGATTATGTGATGGACAAAGGAAAGTATTTCCCAAGAGTGCATATCCGTACTGCCGATTGGAATGACTTCATGAAAGATGGCCTCAAAGGACAGTACTGCGTGCCCGAATCAACAGGCAAATATCCCGATCCCATGCAGCCGAACTTGCATTTCTTCAAGCCAGACACCACCTATGAACGCCACACGGAACTGAAAGCGAAGCGCGACAACATCACCGACACCTCCTTCTCCTCCTCCGCCGATACTAACGACACCCTTTCATCTTTCTACGACTCTATCCTCTACCGCTCTCCCAACCCGGCTGCAGCTGCCCTTTACGAGCTGAATCCCACCGGCGTAACCTTACCCCCAGGCTGCCCGGGTGACAAAGGTATAGGATTCGGGCTCCCCGACCGCTGGGGCAAATACTTCCACCCAAACGAGCTCGGCCACAAGACCATTGCATCCTTCGTGCTAGATGGCATATATGCCGCACGGGCTGATTTCCTAGGCAAGAGGAACCCCATCTGCTCGCGCGGTTTCGAGGAGTTCCGATGCTGGCAAAATGACGGCCGAAAGGACTACGCAAGCGCGGACCTCCTGAACAAGAACTACAAGACCTACTGCAAGGAAGTAAAACCTCCCAAGAAAACAGCAAATTGGAAAGACGAGCGCTGGTTCCACCAACTCACCCCAGAAACGCACAGCTTCAGCATCCAACTCAGCGACGGCGCCACTCACTTCGACCAAGGCCACTGCATGGAGTCCTTCGAGCGTATCATCAACTCCTGCGATGGCAATGATCCGAAAAATCCGATGAATTGGAAATTCGGGGGTCGCTGGACTCGCGGGAGCTATACGTATGAAGTTAACATTGCGAACTCGTTCAAGAGACCTTGGCCGCCGACAAGAGAAGTTGGGGGGTTTTGCGATAGCAGTTATAAGTTCTGGTACCAGAGGTATGATATGAGAGGCAGAGGATGGGCAACCTGGGATGCGGGTCAGGATACGCTGAAGCCGGCTATTATAAGCTGCGTGGGACACGGACTTACGGGATGGGACTTTCATTATTTAGATCAACCGGACTCTGATGGAAATGAATGGGTGGTTAAATTCAATACGCCAATTCTGACGGGACCCAGATGCTTTGATAATAACAGAGTGCAGTTCAACGCTGGGGGTTTCACGCGGGGTTGTCATGGGGTGTTGCGACGTGATCCTTGAGGTCAATGAGGGATGAATTAGGGTTACGGGTGATAAGTGGATTTGCTTATGTGAGTGGGTATGTGCTAATTAGTTCAGTGAAGTATTAACATACATTTAATGATATTTGCTTTTGAGATACTGTTTATCATCTTCTATCATACTAACCTTTAAGTAAGGGGTAAGTACTACATAACTCGTAAGATCCCAACAGTAAGTAACGAAGTGGTTAATATATGTTCAAAGGTGGAGTGATCGTAATCTTGGTGTCCGGGCGTGCAGGATCTAGATGAGGTTAGCAACTTTGTAGACCACCTTATGATCATCGTGACCGCTTTCTGATTGCAATACAATTCTAAATTTCTTGTAGCTATATCACGTTGTATCTATCCAACCACTCTGGAGGAGTCATCCTCATTCTTTGGCACGTGATCTGATCTATATAGCTGATCTAACCACTCCCGCTCCTTTACATCTGGTAATTTCATACATAACAATCGCATGAGTTTAAACCTTTTTATCTTATAACGATGACATTTTATAAACCTATGTATTGTGTCTAACAGTATATTGACATCCATCACCGCTGTCTAGGACTGCCAAGTCTGCCAGTTCGCGCCAACCGCGCTAGATTTCTCATAAACATTATCATCAATCGCAGGCCAGTGTTTTACTTCTCACTCTACAGCTTCGACTAGAAGCAAAGTACCTTATCTTAAGCGAAATGCAAACCAAAATACGTGCATTAACGCGCATATCCTTTCTTCGCGCCAAACCTCACCAGCTCTCGCGTTCACTATCTACTACAACCGCTATCCCGCAACACGTACTTGTGGACAAGGAAATCAGTCCTAGCTACAATCCCAAACACTACTATCCTGCAAAAACCGGAGAGGTTCTCGACGATCACTATCGATTGCTGGTCAAGATTGGATGGGGAAGCGGTTCAACAGTGTGACACGCCCGAGATGTCGCAAGGCATGTATTGACTTTCATACGTAACTGCGGCCACGGTTCGCATTTCTAACCTCAAATCAAACCAATCGGTTAGATATCGATGGCAGACTGAGCGTATTGTCGCCCTCAAAATGCTCAACAACAACAATCCCAAGGGCGCCGACCATGAGCGTCGTATTGAAGAACACATCGCCCAGCAAACTCCCTCACACCGCGGTCGTCCGGTTATCCGCAGTTACCTTGAAAGCTTTGAATTGGCAGGTCCCATCGGCAAACATATCTGTCTAGCCTACAAGCCAGCACGGGAGCCTCTCTGGCTATACCAAAGACGGTTCAAAGGCGACAGGTTCACCCTGCCGATGGTTAAAGCGTATATTCTTATCCTTTTGGCTGGTCTCGATTACCTACATTCTGTGTGCAAGGTAGTCCATACTGGCGAGTATATCCACCTGGCACCAAAACTCATCTATCTAATACACTATTGTCAGACCTGAAACTCGACAATATTCTCATAGCCTTCGAAAATGAGAATATCCTCCCGAAATTCGTCAAAGAACAAGAAGAGGCTCAGTCGATGCAATGCAAGACGGATCCGGAAACCGGTCGCGTCATCTACCGCTGTCACAACAACTTCGGACCTCTTGACCCAAGTGGACTAGGCAACATATACCCTCAAATAACCGATTTTGGCGCCGCTACTCTACTCGGCACTGGTGGAGATGATGGCGCGGTCCAACTGGGTACTCGTCCGATACAACCTGACTATTATCGCGCACCAGAGGTCATCTTGGGATGTGGGTGGAGCTATAGTGCGGATATATGGAATCTGGGTGTTATTGTAAGACATACATGCATTCAAAACGTACGTGGTGATCATAAAGTACTCACGTTCTACAACAACAACAGATATGGAATATACTCGAAGGCACAGAGTTGTTCACAGAGGTACAGGATGCGGAGGGAACTTACCTCCCAGAAGCACATCTAGCGCAGATGATAGCCCTGCTTGGGCCCCCGCCTAAGAAATTGCTTGTGATGTCGGAGTCCATGGCACAGGTTGAGTGGTCACCGGCTATCACTGATGAAAGGGGTAAGATATTCAAGAACAATAGGGAATACTTTGGCGGGCCTTTCTTTGATGAAGAAGGTAATGATACCCTTTCCTTTTTCTCCACAGCATATATGCGTGTATCTCTGACCCTGATCCATAATACGCAGGCAAGTTCCTCTACAACGATTTGATACCCGCACGGAAACTCGAAGATGCAGTCCCATATCTAGAAGCGAGCGACAAGGAAGCTTTCCTATCTTTCATCAAACAGATGCTCACTTGGTTGCCTGAGGAACGAAAGACGGCTCGGGAGTTGATGGAGCACCCTTTCCTTAATGATTAAGGGGATGGGTGAGCTGTGTTAGTATTACAGTCCAGCTAAGGTGTCTATTGCTCACTTGAGGTCTTACTCTAAGAGCAACCCCATATACTCGCCTTGACTTGATGGTCGGGTTAAGAAATGTGCTCACGGTAAAGCAAGCACGCATCCATCAATTATCGAACGGTCAGAGTAAGGTATCCCTGAAGGGTAACTATAACAAAAAGTTTTCTCTATGATATCGTCTCAATTTGGAGAATCGACCGGATGCGACTAAGATGCTGAGCATGTTATTGCGTGGAGTTGTGAGGCGAGCTCGCTACGCGTTGTATGCGTGTCTTGGCAATACTTGTGGCCATTTACAGCTGGCAGTTCAAGTTCATGAACCTGTTATCCATCTTCTTCTAGTAAGGCGGATGCGCATGATCTGCTCTTGATCTTGATCGCAGGATATATTACTAGGTCATGCTATCTATTTATGCCTGGTAAACTAGATAATCTCTGATGATGTGAAGGAACTATCAATGATATAAAGTGTAGATTAGCGAAGCGGAGTACGGAGTACGTAGTGATGTGCTAAATATATGAACCAATCAGATCAATCAGTCACACGCTTAAAGGAAATAACCAGTAGGAAGGGAATATCTAAGTAGTTACTACGTACTAGTCCCCCCAAGGTAACATGAAAATGAAGTATTTCTGGTCTTGAGATGCCATGATTTGACTTGATGTACTGGTTTACATGTAAGCTAGATAGTACTCTATTTACTTGATATCATCATGTAAGCAAATATCATAATAACGTTGTGAGCCGCAAGGCTGTAGGTTTGCGAGGCTGAACTTTATCTTAACATCTGTAGGACTCGATATAATCGTAATATGCTTGTAGTGAATATCCTCATATCTGCGAATATTTACTACCGCTGATAATGATCATGAATGTTCCATGATCTTCACATGCTTCGCAACTCCCAAACTACAATTACAAGCACAGCACGCATAGTAATCCGTACACTATGTACCTAACAAACAATATAGACTAGTAGCGAATCCGACCCTGAAGCAAAAGAAAAAGGAAAGTAAACTACAGTTTCGTCATGGCTGTCATCATAATCATAAGATAATAAGTAAGAAATTATAACCCTCCTCATACCCCAATCCACCCAACCAACCTATCTACCATACCCAGCAAGTAGATACCCTCATCCACAACTCAACCCCCCCTCAGATCTGGTCTACAAAACAGTCAGCAACCTTCAATTCCCCAAAAAGAGCATAAGTAGTATAGGGGAACATACTCAACGTCATACTCAAACTAACATCCGTATTCTCAACCATATCCGTAAACTCCTCGAAGCTAATCTTGCCATCACCATCCTTATCAGCCTCCATGATGGTCTTATCAACAATCTGCTGCAGCTGCACATCCTTGAGGTTATTTCCGACCATCATCTTCAGCACGATGAACAATTCGCCATTGGAGATGAACCCGTCGCGATCGATATCGTATACTTTGAATGCGAAGCGCAGCTTCTCTTCTTTGTTGCCCTTGGAGCTGAAGGCTGATAACCCGGAGACGAATTCTTGGAAGTCGACGTCGCCGCCGCCGTCTTCGTCGAAGATGGCGATCATTCTATTTGCGTTTGGTTATTATCATGTTTCAGTGTAGTGCTGTAGTGCTGTTGGACATGTGGTATAGGGTGGGAAGGGAGGGGAGTACCTCGTGGCGAGCGGGTTAGAGGAGACTTGAGGAAGGGAGAGGAATTCATCGCGGTCGATGGTGCCAGAGCTGTCCTGTATACATCGGCATTATGATTAGCGATAGAACAGGTAGGGGAAAATAAGGTATAACGTGGAGAAAGGGGGAGAGAGTACCTTATCAAGCTTCATGAAGCGCTTGCGGAGACGGTCCACTTCATCGCGATCGACTGCCAGATTCCGATGATGTAGTCAGCAAGGCCGGACACCCCGATTGATAATTGTTTACAGACGCGACCGCTACCCACAGTTGGAGGCGGACACAATGTTTTCGAAGAGCTGAGAAGTTCCGACGGAGCCCCTGCGTCTCCGGGCATCGTAAAGGGCCGCGTTGTTGGGTTCGCTGGAATGATCCATGATGGGGACCGGAATGTGGCGATCACAGGGAAGGAGAGAAGCAAAAGCGGTAACGGCAAGAACCACAGGCTAGGTGGAGAAAATAATAGTTTAGAAAGAGAGAGGAAAGGGAAGCTTCCCACACCAATTCAATACACAGTGAAACTCTGGGGGAGGAATGAATGATATCACGAGGGAAACAATAGATAGATTGATATCAATCACTGCAAGCAACGAGGTTCCCCCAGCCGGCAATTTGATATCGGGCAGCCCCGCACTAACCGGAAACGGACAGGCAAGCGAACCCCTGAGGCCGTGCGCCGGGCCAAAACAGGCCACCGCCGGGTGACATTGCAACGTCAACTCATCCGCCAGTGCCAATACTACGAGATTTCCCGCGTCGATATCATCCCATCACCATCGACATTCATCACGAAACTACATCTACGCGCTTTCGCATGATCGGCCCTATCGCCTGATACCAATTTTAGCCCCCCTCGCCCATGGTCGTTGCCCTTTTCCGCGCCCCAAAGTTCGTATGACTAGGTACGGGGGAATGGGGAGGACGCGCCCGAAAAAGCTCACCTCCAAGGCCTCCATCCCCATAGTCCGGGAGCACGACATAGATCTTATCGACGATGAAATCCAAAATGCCCTACAACAGATCGAGACCGGCGTGGAAAAGGCTGAGGAATCGGTAAGTGATGCCTCATCCCCGACCGTTGCGAGCATCCCTGTGCATATCACGTGACATCATCCCGACCTCACCCCATCGTGAAAATTTCGCACCTCGGCAGAAACACCGCAACAGCCCCTGCTAACGCCTGTTCTTGTATAGGAATTCCATCTCCAGGTCGCCATAAACGCGGCTGCGCAGGGAAAAGTAAAAGATGCCCATATTCCGACGCCGGAGACGGTCCTCAGTAACCTGCGCTATGATGAGCTCTACCCGCCTATCTTCTCGCAACCTGCGACCTACATTCGCTTCTCTGCTACGGTAGAGGACTGTTGCGGAGCCCCGTATTGCATGGACGAGGAAGATGATGTCTTCCTCAAGATCTTCAACCAAAAACGCGATGCGGGTAGTCGGTGCACCGAAGACCAGTTCGAAGAGGTTATGAGCTTCTTCGAGCTCACGTCGCGAAAGGAGCAGCCCTATGCCTTTGTAGATAACTCGCCCCTCATGAGCTTCGAAGAGTTTCAACAAGCGATGGACCCAGCTGTAGAGGAGAGTGTAAAGCGGTTCGCCAAGGACATCTATGAATACTGGAAGTCCAGGAGGACCAGCAACGGCAACGAGCCCCTACTACCTACACCGAAGGTGAGTCCCCTCGCTAACGGCAGTTATGAGGTTTGGCAACACCAGAGTGCTAACCGATTACCGCAGGTTGAGGCTGGTCGAGACACCGATGATACGGACCCGTATGTCTGCTTCCGTAGGCGTGAGGTGCGGCAGACGCGCAAGACCCGTGGCAGGGATGCGCAGAGTGCCGATAAGCTGAGGAGACTCAGGAAGGAGCTGGAAGATGCTCGACAGATGGTCGCTTTGGTGCGCCAACGCGAGCTAGCGAGGAAGGAGATGCTGGCCATCGAACGCCAAGTGTTCTTGCAGAGATCGGAGGTCAAGGAGATGAAGAGGAAGCTCAACATCAAGGACGATGATGAAGACCTCATCAACCAGAAGGTGAGCCCTATGCAGTCTCGCGACCGTCTGCTTCACATGCTGATGACTCTGCAACAGCCGAAGAAGAAGCCTGTAGAAGCACCAGCTGTGCAACGCCCGGCTGCGCCTCAACTGCGTATGCCCCCCAAGGCTGGTACACAAGCTGCAGAAGACCTACAGCTGTTGGAGGATGTTCAGGCAGAGAAGGAGAACGAGATTCAGCGCGACATCAAGCAGAATATCGCCAAGCACGTCAAGTGGAACGAGGGCTATGTGGATTTCACAAGAGCACCACTCTCCCCGTCGCCAGAGCGAACTTTCGATGCTGCTTCTTTCCGCCCTGCAATCACCACTCAACTGCCCACGCCGCCATCATCGGAATCGTCCGATAATATGCTGGATTCGCCCTTAGATACCACGAGTGCCATTGCTCTCCGAGATAAATTAGCTCCACATGCCATGGAATTGAGTGTGGACACCAGCAAGATGCCCTCGTTCAGACGACGTATCGGGCGCGGCGGTCGTTTGTGGATCGATCGTCGAAATCTGGTGTCCCGTTGTAGAGTCGAAATGGACCCGTGGAAGGCCGATCGGTTCAAGTATGATCAGGAGGACTCGGACGAGGATCTCGAATTTGAAGGAGACCAGTACGATATCCAGATCATGCAGCATCGGGCCATCATGGCAGCCAAAGCCCGAGACCAAGCAGCGGCGGCAGCTCAAGCCCATGCGCAGGCGCAGGCTCAACAAGCACAGGCTCAAGCTCAGGCTCAACGGCGATTGCAGGCCGAGCAGACATCGGCGACCAATCCACCAAGCGGAGGGCAAACCATGGGATCCAATCCCGGGCCTGGCGCCATTGCCTCCACTTCAGAGACCTAAGCTGGCCTTTGTTCTTCTCCCCTCTCTCTTCCCTTCCGATTATGTTTTTAATCTTTCACCCCATGTTTCGCATCTGGCCGGCGTTGTTCTTTCGACATATTCTCTTACCCTCACTTGTACTTTTACCCCTTGGACGTCCTGATTCTTTACCCCATACCCCGAATATTTTTTCTTTCCGGAGCGCTGCAAAGCGTTCGACCCTCAGGATGATGTTGCCGGATGATGCTTTGTTTATGACATGACCCTGGTATTATGCGAAAGTTAGTGTACATAGCCAGTTTTTGTCCTCTTTTTTCTTTTCTTTTCAGCCGAGCAGTCGATAGACTCGTGTACGGATAGTGAGGCTATGAGGTCAGCGACGAAGAAGATAACAAAAATCAATATTAATTAGATGAAAAAGGAGAAAAAATCAAACTTTTGGTCTTATCCATCATATTAAAACAGTTTTTCGGTTTCGAGATTCAAGCGTCACGTTCTCAGAGCTTTGTTCCTCTGCGGTTCGTCGCTGTCGCCATTTGCTGCCCGCTTGAGAGGATTGCTCTGGAGTGCGGCCCCGAATTGCTTGTCGAGCATGAAGGACAGGTTGTACAAAATCTCCTTTTCGCCGAGGCGGACCTGGATCGCCATCTTCTTGCGACGAACAGATCCTTCCACCGGGCCGGATGCTTCAAGCTGCGACAACTGGGCGAGGAGTTCCTGATCCTGGGGGATGGTCGTCGCATACTGAGCCTGGTTCAACTGCAGAGCCTTGGCAAAGATGGCGGCTTCCGCATCACCGAAGGATGGCTTGGGGGGCTTGTTCTTCGAGCGCTGCTTCTCCAACTGGTCGGACGGGAGCGATAGGGTCTTCAGCAATAGCAAGAGCTCATCCGGAAGAATATCGGTCAACGGATCCTCAGGGGAAGACGGCCTTGGAATGGTATATCCGTCGTCCAGAAGTTCCAAGTCTTCGAGGAATTGAAGCTAACGTTAGGTCAGCATATGGTTTCCGGTGCCAGGTGGTTCCCATGTCAGTTATTTACCGGAGGTTGGGTCTCAATATCGGCACTTCCAAGGCCAGCAGCCTGGCATATTTGGTCCAATGAGAGCTCGACAACGTCGTATTGGGCATAGTTGTCAGTCACGTAACCGTACCGTCTCAAGAGGTCAGAACGGGGGATCTCCCCATAGTCGTTGAAGATCTCCTCGCCGGACTTGATAGGCTTGATAGCCTTCATGACCAAGACTTCTTCTTCTTGGAAAAGACGAGCCTGAATGGAAAACGTTAGTCAGCGACCATGTCGCAAGAATCGAAGATCAAACAGAACTCACATTGTTGCGATCGGCATCCGCATTGAGAAGATCGGCCAGAGGAACCATGCCCTTAGACGACTGCTCCTCTTCTTCATCGGTCAAGTAGCCGTCTTCACCATCACGGTCGCCCTCTTCATCTTCCGGTTTCTCGATGTCAAAAGCGTAGGCCATGATAAGCGATCCCATAGTATGTGCGAGGTGAAGGAGGGCCTGGGTCCCAGCGACTCCATCGTAAGAGGCAACTCCGTCGATGGGAGGGAATAGGGCAGGATTTGCTCGCACGATAGGAGCAATGGACTCGAGAATGGATTCTTCGGCTCCCTGCTTCCCGATCTTCTCGACAATAGCGCTGCCCTGAAGCTCCTGGAGCTCGGAAGCGGACCAGAACATGAGGGTGTCAAAATTGCGAGGAAGAACCCGGAAGTATGAAGCCCAAGCAGACCGATCGCCTTGAAGATACTCATAGATCATGACGACCATCAGAGACAACCAAGGGCCAAGATCATCGAGATTCTGGGAGAGCAGGTTCTTCAAATTGGAATTCTGAACCGAGAGAACATGTGCGCGGGGGATGGTAAAAAGCTCTTCACCTTCGTCGAGATCGGACTGAGCCACTGGTAGAGTGACACGAGGACATCAGAGAGGGAGTCACTTCCAAGAAAAAAAGGGTTTCATGAGACAAGCACGAGCGGGATAAAACCTCGTCTGGGATGGGAACCTACCGACACCTCGGCCAGCTGCGTGGGAGCGCAGATCTGCAATTTGGATCTTGGGGTTGATTTTGACGCCGGGCTTGCCAGCCAACCAAGTGAGAAACTCACTTGACTGGTGCTGGAAGTTTCCCGGGTCGGTAAAATGGGTGGTGGAAGACATTTGGGAGGTTGATGGAGGAGAGATTGTGTGAATAGTCTCGACCTAAGAAAAAGGAAATTCGGCACCCCACACCCACTGTTGTGTTAAGGACGGCTCAGGAGTGAAAGGAGCGGGAAGGATAGCAGTTTGGCAGCCGAACAAAGAGAAGAAGATGCAGCTGCTGGGACAGCCAGCCAGGTGGTGAAAGAAAAGGGGAGGGTGTGGGAGGGTGAGAGAGTGAGAGAGATTGACGGGGGGGAAGTTGAGGGGATCAGGCGGTGCTCCTCCGGTAGTAAGTAAAGTAACTAATTAGTAGTAATTAGTTGGCAGGCAAACGGGTGTATGGAAAGTATGGTACAGTAACTGGTGTTCCAGCAAAATGACAGTCGGATAAACGCTGCGGCGGACCAAATCGGGCCAATCGATAACACGCCTGATAACCTTCCGAACCAGCACCGAATTTGCCCCTCCGCGACTGGCTCATGTCCGCGGCCTCGAAATTTTGACCAGCCCGTAACCACCCCTTCTGAGTTATTGGTCTTTTCTTTTGTTCGTCATTGAGCCAGATACCCCCCAGATACCCCCTGCACATCATGATCTCCATCGGTCTGGAGAGCTCCGCCAACAAATTGGGCGTGGGCATCATGGTGCATCCCGACGATGGCAAGCCCCCGCAGGTGCTGGCCAATGTTCGGCACACCTATGTCACCCCTCCCGGTGAAGGATTTCTCCCCAAGGACACCGCCCGTCATCACCGCGCCTGGGTTGTGAAGCTGGTTAAGAAGGCTCTTCGCGAAGCTCAGATCTCCCCCAAGGATGTGGACTGCATTTGCTTCACTAAGGGCCCCGGCATGGGTGCCCCTCTTCAGAGCGCCGCCATTGCGGCCCGCATGTTGAGTCTACTATGGGGCAAGGAATTGGTGGGCGTGAATCACTGTGTTGGACGTATGTGTTATACCTAGTACTTCACTGCTCTATTTATCTATCAGTCCCCGATCCTATCTGCACCGTGCGGGGAAACCCTTTGGCCCGTGTCATCCCTTGCTTAGCTTGACCTCCCTATTGCAACCATCGCTAACCATGCCTCGGCTGTATATATAGATATCGAAATGGGTCGATTGATTACCGGTGCACAAAATCCCGTCGTCCTCTATGTTTCCGGAGGAAACACCCAAGTTATCGCATACAGCTCCCAACGGTACCGCATCTTTGGCGAAACCTTGGATATTGCAGTAGGAAACTGCTTAGACCGCTTTGCGCGCACGCTGCGCATTTCCAACGACCCCGCCCCCGGATATAACATCGAACAATTAGCCAAGAAGGGTAGGAAACTGGTCGATCTACCGTACACGGTCAAGGGAATGGACATTTCCATGTCCGGTATCTTGGCGGCCATTGATGGACTGGCCGTGCAGTATGGCTTGGATGGGGATTGGAACGACGACGAGGATGTCGCTAACAATGCGTCTACATCGGAGGATCTGGAGAACTCGAAGCCGACGCGCGCAGATCTATGCTTCTCGCTCCAGGAAACGGTTTACTCCATGTTGGTTGAGATCACAGAGCGCGCCATGGCACATGTCGGTTCCAAGGATGTCCTGATCGTCGGTGGAGTGGGCTGTAATGAGCGCCTGCAGGAAATGATGGGTATCATGGCTCGCGACCGCGGTGGTACCATTCATGCGACCGACGAGAGATTCTGTATTGATAACGGCATCATGATCGCGCAGGCCGGATTACTGGCATATAAGTCCGGTAGCACAACGCCCTTGAAGGATTCCACTTGTACTCAGCGCTTCCGGACAGACGATGTCTTTGTCAAATGGAGGGATTGATTTCTATTCTTGTTTCATTGGATGATGATGATTTAGATGAATGAGATGAATATAATCTATAGAGTCATGAGCAAAGGTCTCCGATTCGGCACCCGGAGTGCATCCGTGCATCCAGACAAACTGGAGCAAGGGCTAGAATTTATTGAAGCCCGCTTGATCGCATTCTTTCTACCGAGTAACGATTGGCGCAGTTTGACTCAATTGCCACGGACACAGATGACAGGCTGGGATTAAGAATATCAAGTCGCTTATGACTAGTTGTCCCTCCGACGGGTGGAAGCAAGCGTTAAGGGCGTACATCAAACACTCCTGGCTGACCAAAGCAGCAACGCCTATGTAAAACAGCCGCGCATTCCAGCTGCAAGCAAGGTTAACAACAGGGGCTTAGCTATCGAAGAATTGTCGCTAGCCATGCATCGTTCCGAACACCAACAACAACAATGGTCTAATAGTGGCGCTTTCTGCACCGCAAATAGTCGGACATCGAGCAACCATAGGGATGTGGATCATGTAAAGTGACTTGAGCTTGGGTTCCGGCTATGTGCAACTCTGCAATGTCGAAAGATATACCCAAAGGAGATATCTGTTGTTATTTCTCCTGGTTCTGCGAGGGCCTTCGGTGTCTTTTCCTCCATTCAATGCCTTATCCTCCAGTTCGATGCGCAGATAGCATACGGTCGACATGCGGGATGCTCGGCCCCGCTCTGGCAGCCAAAGTCATACAACCCCCTTCTGGCTAGAAGAAAGGCATGAGGGACGTGCAGGGCACCTTATCTCATTGACAGGCTAACCTGTAATATCATCTGTCGGCTTGTACAATATCGTCGTGACGTACTGCATACTGTTAATTCCGTGGCTTCGTGACAATGAGGTGCCATCTTACCTTCCGTTTGTATCTGGTCGTTACACTGGTGGCAAGCACACCATTTTTTATACTGCTAGTGGCGAGATGGTTTAGGACGGTATGGTTAGGGTAGTTGAGAACACTGCTATCGTCCTTCATGGGTGTGGTGCCGTTCAAGATTGATTTGCCAAGGAACAGTGGAAGACTCGGCGGTGTAGGCGCATCCCCAACGATATTCACAGCCTGCTGGTACTCGGGCGTTTCTTCCTCGCGATCTAGATCAAGCAGAAATTGTGGGATAACACCACGGAAGTCACCCAACGGAATTTCCTCGGGCTCTTCTCTGTCTGACTGTTCCTCCACGGTGGACCCCACTTGATCATTCCCGAGCGGTCCAGGAATGACCTGCGGAGGTCGAACGCCATCAGGGACCTTATCGCTCTCTCTCCGTGACCGGTTGACGTCATCAGCACTAATTTCAATGTAGTTGACGAGATGATTTGTGAA